AACATGACAAAAAATTTTATATAGCATTATTGCATGATGCAGTGAATTTATGGTGCCACCTAGTGCAAAAGTAGCTACTTTTTAACATTTTCGACTACAAAATCTGCCAGAACTTCACAGAAATTGCTCAAACTGACAAAACAATTTGTGCAAATGATCTTAAATCCATAAAACATGACAAAAAATTTGTTTAACATTATTTCAAAGAAACAGTAAATTAATGATGCAATTAAGTCCAAAAGTAGCTACTTTTTAACATTTTCTACTACAAATCTGCCAGAACTTCACAGAAATTGCTCAAACTGACAAAAAATTTTATATAGCATTATTGCATGATGCAGTGAATTTATGGTGCCACCTAGTGCAAAAGTAGCTACTTTTTAACATTTTCGACTACAAATCTGCTAGAACTTCACAGAAATTGCTCAAACTGACAAAGCAATTTGTGCAAATGATCTTAAATCAATAAAACATGACAAAAATTTTTATATAGCATTATTGCATGATGCAGTGAATTTATGGTGCAACCTAGTGCAAAAGTAGCTACTTTGTAACATTTTCGACTACAAATCTGCTAGAACTTCACAGAAATTGCTCAAACTGAAAAAGCAATTTGTGCAAATGTTCTTAAATCAATAAAACATGACAAAAAATTTGTTTTACATTATTTCAAAGAAATAGTAAATTAATGATGCAATTAAGTGCAAAAGTAGCTACTTTTTATCATTTTCGACTACAAATCTGCTAGAACTTCACAGAAATTGCTCAAACTGACAAAGCAATTTGTGCGAATGTTCTTAAATCAATAAAACATGACAAAAAATTTGTTTTACATTATTTCAAAGAAATAGTAAATTAATGATGCAAATAAGTGCAAAAGTAGCTACTTTTTATCATTTTCGACTACAAATCTGCTAGAACTTCACAGAAATTGCTCAAACTGACAAAACAATTTGTGTAAATGATCTTAAATCAATAAAACATGACAAAAATTTTTATATAGCATTATTGCATGATGCAGTGAATTTATGGTGCAACCTAGTGCAAAAGTAGCTACTTTTTAACATTTTCGACTACAAATCTGCTAGAACTTCACAGAAATTGCTCAAACTGACAAAGCAATTTGTGCAAATGTTCTTAAATCAATAAAACATGACAAAAAATTTGTTTTACATTATTTCAAAGAAATAGTAAATTAATGATGCAATTAAGTGCAAAAGTAGCTACTTTTTATCATTTTCGACTACAAATCTGCTAGAACTTCACAGAAATTGCTCAAACTGACAAAACAATTTGTGCAAATGATCTTAAATCAATAAAACATGACAAAAAATTTTAATTAGCATTATTGCATGATGCAGTGAATTTATGGTGCCACCTAGTGCAAAAGTAGCTACTTTTTAACATTTTCGACTACAAATCTGCTAGAACTTCACAGAAATTGCTCAAACTGACAAAGCAATTTGTGCAAATGATCTTGAATCAAACATGACAAAAAATTTTATATAGCATTATTGCATGATGCAGTGTATTTATGGTGCAAAGTAGTGCAAAAGTAGCTACTTTTTAACATTTTCGACTACAAATCTGCTAGAACTTCACAGAAATTGCTCAAACGGACAAAACAATTTGTGCAAATGATCTTAAATCAATAAAACATGACAAAAAATTTTATTTAGCATTATTGCATGATGCAGTGAATTTATGGTGCAAAGTAGTGCAAAGGTAGCTACTTTTTAACATTTTCGACTACAAATCTGCCAGAACTTCACAGAAATTGCTCAAACTGACAAAGAAATTTGTGCAAATGATCTTAAATCAATAAAACATGACAAAAAATTTTATTTAGCATTATTGCATGATGCAGTGAATTTATGGTGCAAAGTAGTGCAAAGGTAGCTACTTTTTAACATTTTCGACTACAAATCTGCTAGAACTTCACAGAAATTGCTCAAACTGACAAAACAATTTGTGCAAATGATCTTAAATCAATAAAACATGACAAAAATTTTTATATAGCATTATTGCATGATGCAGTGAATTTATGGTGCAAAGTAGTGCAAAAGTAGCTACTTTTTAACATTTTCGACTACAAATCTGCTAGAACTTCACAGAAATTGCTCAAACTGACAAAACAATTTGTGCAAATGATCTTAAATCAATAAAACATGACAAAAAATTTTATATAGCATTATTGCATGATGCAGTGAATTAAGGTGCAACCTAGTGCAAAAGTAGCTACTTTTTAACATTTTCGACTACAAATCTGCTACAACTTCACAGAAATTGCTCAAACTGACAAAGCAATTTGTGCAAATGATCTTAAATCAATAAAACATGACAAAAAATTTTATATAGCATTATTGCATGATGCAGTGAATTTATGGTGCAAAGTAGTGCAAAGGTAGCTACTTTTAAACATTTTCGACTACAAATCTGCTAGAACTTCACAGAAATTGCTCAAACTGACAAAAAAATTTGTGCAAATGATCTTAAATCAATAAAACATGACAAAAAATTTTATATAGCATTATTGCATGATGCAGTGAATTTATGGTGCCACCTAGTGCAAAAGTAGCTACTTTTTAACATTTTCGACTACAAATCTGCTAGAACTTCACAGAAATTGCTCAAACTAACAAAACAATTTGTGCAAATGATCTTAAATCAATAAAACATGACAAAAATTTTTTTATAGCATTATTGCATGATGCAATGAATTTATGGTGCAAAGTAGTGCAAAAGTAGCTACTTTTTAACATTTTCGACTACAAATCTGCTAGAACTTCACAGAAATTGCTCAAACTAACAAAACAATTTGTGCAAATGATCTTAAATCAATAAAACATGACAAAAAATTTTATATAGCATTATTGCATGATGCAGTGAATTTATGGTGCCACCTAGTGCAAAAGTAGCTACTTTTTAACATTTTCGACTACAAATCTGCTAGAACTTCACAGAAATTGCTCAAACTAACAAAACAATTTGTGCAAATGATCTTAAATCAATAAAACATGACAAAAAATTTTATATAGCATTATTGCATGATGCAGTGAATTTATGGTGCCACCTAGTGCAAAAGTAGCTACTTTTAAACATTTTCGACTACAAATCTGCTAGAACTTCACAGAAATTGCTCAAACTAACAAAACAATTTGTGCAAATGATCTTAAATCAATAAAACATGACAAAAATTTTTTTATAGCATTATTGCATGATGCAATGAATTTATGGTGCAAAGTAGTGCAAAAAAAGCTACTTTTTAACATTTTCGACTACAAATCTGCTAGAACTTCACAGAAATTGCTCAAACTGACAAAAAAATTTGTGCAAATGATCTTAAATCAATAAAACATGACAAAAAATTTTATATAGCATTATTGCATGATGCAGTGAATTTATGGTGCCACCTAGTGCAAAAGTAGCTACTTTTTAACATTTTCGACTACAAATCTGCTAGAACTTCACAGAAATTGCTCAAACTGACAAAGCAATTTGTGCAAATGATCTTAAATCAATAAAACATGACAAAAATTTTTATATAGCATTATTGCATGATGCAGTGAATTTATGGTGCAACCTAGTGCAAAAGTAGCTACTATTTAACATTTTCGACCACAAATCTGCCAGAACTTCACAGATATTGCTCAAACTGACAAAACAATTTGTGCAAATGATCTTAAATCAATAAAACATGACAAAAAATTTTATATAGCATTATTGCATGATGCAGTGAATTTATGGTGCCACCTAGTGCAAAAGTAGCTACTTTTTAACATTTTCGACTACAAATCTGCTACAACTTCACAGAAATTGCTCAAACTGACAAAGCAATTTGTGCAAATGATCTTAAATCAATAAAACATGACAAAAAATTTTATATAGCATTATTGCATGATGCAGTGAATTTATGGTGCAACCTAGTGCAAAAGTAGCTACTTTTAACATTTTCGACTACAAATCTGCCAGAACTTCACAGAAATTGCTCAAACTGACAAAACAATTTGTGCAAATGATCTTAAATCAATAAAACATGACAAAAAATTTTATATAGCATTATTGCATGATGCAGTGAATTTATGGTGCCACCTAGTGCAAAAGTAGCTACTTTTTAACATTTTCGACTATAAATCTGCTACAACTTCACAGAAATTGCTCAAACTGACAAAGCAATTTGTGCAAATGATCTTAAATCAATAAAACATGACAAAAAATTTTATATAGCATTATTGCATGATGCAGTGAATTTAAGGTGCAACCTAGTGCAAAAGTAGCTACTTTTTAACATTTTCG